CTTCCTATCCAGTGATGTCAAAAGCATTCAAGTAGTTTTAAATCGAGGCTCCATCTTCTGCAGAGCAGGATGTTATCCTTGCAGGTCTCCAGTACTTGCCTTGCTCACACAGGCACTGTCAATGGCAGTTAAGGCTGGTAGCCTTCCCAGTGCCGCCCTGCGTGCAGGGCGAGCGGCCGGCAGTGCCGCTGCTGGCGGTGCCGGGGAGTGCGGGGCGCCGCGAGCCCCCGCACAGACGGGCGGCTGGTGGTGCCGGTGCCGGTGGTGCCGGGGAGTGCGGGGCACCACGAGCCCCTGCACAGATGGGCGGCTGGTGGTGCCGGTGCTGGTGGTGCTGGTGGTGCCGGGGAATGAGGGGCGCCGCGAGCCCCCGCACAGACGGGCGGCTGGTGGTGCCAGTGCCACCGGGGAGTGCGGGGCGCCGCGAGCCCCCGCACAGACGGGCGGCTGGTGGTGCCGGTGCCGGTGCCACCGGGGAGTGCGGGGGCCGCGAGCCTCCACGCAGACGGGCGGCTGGTGGTGCCGGTGCCGGTGGTGCCGGGGAGTGCGGGGCACCGCGAGCCCCCGCGCAGACGGGCGGTGTAGAGGGGCATTAGCGTGCGCTGATTTCCCCCCTCCGCACTCCAAGCGGGCATTCCCGGAGGTCAGGGAGAGAACAGCTGCCGCAGAGCAGGCGCTGGCCCTGTTGGCGCAGCAGGAACAGTAACCCCTTTATTGCAGCAATGCCCGATGGCCGGGCGGCTGCTGCAGGGCCCGGGCAGCACAGGACGCGGGTGGCACGGGGCGGGCAGCGCAAGGGGGAGCCCCCGACAGGCTCTGCGCGCAGGGGTCACAGCAGCAGCAGCAGCAGCAGCAGCAGCAGTAGCTGCAGTGGGTGCAGTGCTGGCCTCCCGCGCGGGCAGTGCTGCAGTGCCAGGAGGCTGCGAGGATGAGGAGGCTCCCGGGGGAGGGCAGGGGCGCCCTGCACCTCCTGCTCCTGGCCGTGCCCAGCTCCTGCGCCAGCACAGAGCAGGAGGTGCCGCTTGGGGCTGCTCGGACCAAGCCCTCCCCTGCAGCGCAGCTGGTCCTCCCGCAGCCCCACACCCTGGCAGGGAGGGCTCTGGGTGCAGCGGTGCTCCAAACTGCTCCCGGGGGACCCCGGGCACCCCCGGGGCTGCAGGTGCCTGTGCAGAGGGTGCCGGAGCAGCCGAGCTGCCTGACTTGCAGCCACCCCGAGGAGACACGCGGCCCTGCCCGGCCCCACGCGGCGCCCGGCACCTGGGCCTCCCTCCAGCCCTTTCCACCATCTATTGAGGAACGAGTGCTATTTCCAGCAGGGCAGCTGCTGCTTCTCCTTTGTGGAAGGATGGGCAAGCTGTTAACCTGCCCAGGGCTGGTGCTGTGATCAAAACAAGGGAAACATCCTGGCCCTTGTCCATGGGTGCATTGAACCCCACGGCCAAGGCCGCCAGCCCGGCCCCTGCCCAGGAAAACTGGGAATAGAGCCAGTCCCTGCGGATCCCCAGGGAAACCGCCGCTTTCCAGGGGCAGAGGCGGAACAGGGAGAAGCAGCACGTTACACATGCAGTATTTATCTGCTGCATTTACATTCCTCTGATATCTTCAGTTTCAAATGCTGATAACATTTCTTTCTTAACTCTAAAACACAGAATCCTGAATTGATGCTGAACTTGTCAAAAAAGCCTAAGCCAAGTCCCTGGCCTCTTCTCCAATTCCCCAAGAGCGTAAGAAGACATCCCACGCTGAATGGTCCCACAGAGGTCCTGGCAACGGCTAAATCTGCATTTTCCTCCTCAAAGAGATTATAAATGCATGGTATTCACAAATAAAACACTCCTTAACTTTGCACATGTGCCAAAGCCAACTAAACGGTGCAGTTGGCTGGTCCCCACAGAGGCTCTCAAAAATGCCCAGCGTTCGGAGACCACAGAGGACCCCTGAAATCCGGAGTCGGTGCCGTTCTGGAGGCTCTTGCTCCGCTCCCCGAGATGGCTCCGAGAACACAAGCCCGTGGGTAACGCTCCGAAACTTGAGCGCTCGGGCAGCTCAAGCCCTGGATCAGCAAGTTCCACTGAAGTGAGAAGCTTGGCCCTGGCGGGGAGGCCGTCCTGGCTTTCCCCGAAACAGGCAGCCTCCCGGTGCCCATCTGCTCCGGGCCGTCTCCTGCCTCGGCTGCCCCCGTCTCCGCTTTCAAAGCGCAGCATAGGAGGAGGGTGACACCAGGAGCAAAAATAGCAGCCCCAGCGGGGCCGAAGCAGAAATACTCCCAATAGAGTACGTGCCGCTGGGCCGGGCGCCTCCGCTCCGCACCACGGTCACTGGAAGGCCAGGCTTTTTTTACCCGGGGTTTCAGCGTGTGCGAGCGGCCGCGGGACGGCCCGGGCGGGGGGCAGAGCTTCGGGACCCCAGGAGCGACAGCATGGGCCGGGCGCGGGTGGCATCGCGCAGGGACGCGGCTCGGAGCCGCCGCGCGAGCCGGGGAGCAGCGGGTCCGGGAGCGCCGGAGGGGCTCCTGCACCACCTCCAAACCCATCACCTAGCAGGCCACCGCAGCACCAGCTCCAGCAGGGCACAACGGCAGAGCCCAAAGATTTAGGACCTTCCTAGATAGATAAAAACTTAGATGAAAGCTTCCTAGATAGATAAAAATGCCCAGCGTTTAAAGAGAAGCAGAGTTTTCCCTCTTCCCATCCTTGCATCCTCAGAAAGACCCTTAGGAAAGCTGAAGTGTGAGGCTTCAGGTTCTTTTCCTTTGTGTGCTTGGAATGCATTCTCCCCAACATGCTTGCAATACATTTGTTCCAAAACCAGCACTGCAGTTCACCTGGGGAGAGCAGCGACTCGGCTGCCCTAAGCACTAACATCACACCAGGGAGCCTGTGGGTGCCATTGTTTAAATATATTTGAAAAAACAGAACTAGCATGGAGACTTTTTCAATAAATTACAGGCAAGCTAAAGAAATTGCAGAGCTCTGAGTGATATTGAATGAAGAGGAAACGGCTTTTAGGATTAAATCTGTACCCCATAAATGATTTCAAGTGTGTTAAATTCCAGCACCCGAGGCCGCGCAGCGCAGGGGGGTCTGCGCAGGTCTGTGCACCAAGGAGAGCGGCAGCGAGAGGCTGCCCCAGCACTGCCCTTCACAGGCCCCCTCGGCGCAGGGCGGACCCAGCGCGTCCCCAGCCCTTCTTGCAAAGCACAATGCACAGACACTTTCCCTAGGAGCACCACCTAGTTTAGCCCTGCGTTTCTGCTTTACATTCCTCATGTCTCTCTTGAAATAGGGAGTTCCCTATTTTAAGGAGCGATTTGAGCAAAACTCGCCCTTTTCAGTCTCCAGTGCTTTGGAGAATCTTTGCACCCTGCAGTGCACGCGCGCAGGGTGACAGGGTTCAGGGAAAACACCCAGGCTGGCAATCAGAGCGGTACTTCCCGCGCCGAGTAGTTTTGTCGCTTCTTAGTCTTAGGGGGGCTGAGAACAAAATGCAGAAGAAGCTGCACAAACAAGGGCTTCTTTCCCGCTCTCAAGGCGCCGTCCCTCGGCACGGGCGCACACGGAGCCCCGCGCGCCAGGCTCCTGCACAGCCGCTGCGCGACCAAGAGCAGCGCCCTGGCCGGCACCAAGGGACATTTAACCGCTTTCCACTAAAGCTGCCTATGCACAACTTAACTGCAGTTGCTTGAATGCATATGTGGCTAGTTATCAACCTGGAAAAAGTGGTAAAATTTAGCAATTTCCCCAATGCCATAGTAAACAGTCCTTGAAAAGAATTGTCACTTGTTAAATAAAAAGCAATCTGCTTGGTAAAAAGACAATAAATATTACAGGAAAGGCAAACTAGATAAAAACGCAATTGCATAAAATAAGTCAGGCTCAAAATTTTGAGCATCTAAGGAGTCGGTTGTGCCTCAGCTTGGAGCTTCAGAATTAATTTCCCTAACTATAAGCATTTTTTTCTCACTAATGACGAAGTCTACAGAGCAGCTTGTCAGGTCCTAAGTCTCCTCCTGCGGAACAGAGCGAGCGAGGGGGGACAGGGTCCTTTCTGCCCAAAGCCCCGGAGCCTGCAGGGCCGCGCTGCCCTCTTGTGACCACTAGCAGACTTGTCGTTTCAGCTGAAAACCCTCCTGCATTTCCAGGCGCACTGAGCTCCGTACCTTCTGCTTCTGCAGGTGACAACCCACCCGTGACCGCGGGCTGTTCTGGTACCTTCCTCAGGCCCAGCTCTGTGCGAAGGTCCAGGTCCTGCACAAGGACGCGCTGCGGACAGCGCGACGTGAGCACAGACGCAGCCCAGGGCTGCCGCGCGCTCGTCAGCGACGCTCCACGGAGCCGCCTTCCCGAAGGATCCGCTGGGCCGAGTCCCCATGGAGCAGGCCGGGGGAGCTGCGCCCCGAGGTGGCCCTGGAGCTCAGGGCACAGGGCTCCGCGCTGCGGGATCGGCACCAACGCTGGCACCAACGCGTGCAGCGCCCACAGTTCTCCCATCACACACAGGACCACACGCACCCTCTTCTGGGCAGTTTAATTAAAGTTAATAATTAAAACCAGGTGTTTGCATTTTCATTGGTTTTCAACAGAGCAAAAAGAAACTCAAGCACATTCAGCAACTGCAAGTGATGAACAGCATCAGAACCTCAGTGGGAAAGCAAGCCTGGCTCGTGTGCCGTAAACCAGGCTCCACAGGAAGGCCGGCTCCCATCACACACGGCAAACGAGACGAACGGCAGCACTTACAGATCCTGGACTCGCTCTTCTGGAGGCAACGATGAAGTAAAACAGACAAAAACTCCACACAAAACATGTAACTTTATTCTTCTGAAGGTATGAATTCTCAGAAAAAAAAAAAAAAAAAAAGAGTTCCCTGTTTGCATCCTGCCACCTAAAACTTTATGTCTCTAGCAATATAAATCTACTTGAAGATTTTACTGCTTTGAAAGTAAAGGATTACCTTGAGCCAAAAGCAAACTTTTGCCATCCAACTGGTATACCTCTACCTACTCTTTCACATTAAAAACATCTCTCAAATAAAACCCTCAGCCACTTTAAAAGTAAATCTAGTAAATACAAAAATAATTCCCTCCCCTCACCATAAGCCAAGAATAGTCCATCACAAGAAAAGCCTTTAGGAGCCTTGGCTATAAGTCAAAGACAAGCAAGGAAAAAGCTGTGATTATTTTGGTTAATTCCTCTTTGAAAGTCCTCTTCCTTTTGAAGGGCATGCAGCGTCACCCGAGCGTTACTGCGTTACACCCTTCCCACAGTGTCAGTCGCACCCTCGGGACACCGCGGCCCCAGGGTGCTGACAGGACCTGCTACACGGCCAGACCAAGGTGCCTGCGGCAGCGGTGCTCCACGTGGGCTCGGAGCACCCCGCCGTGTTAGCACACAGCTCTGCTACCTCCTTCTCCCTCGACTACCTCTTTCTAGCTTCATAAAGATGAGCAAACGTTTATATGGACAATTACAACTTGAAAAATTCACATTCTGCATCAGTAATAATTTACGCAATTTCAGAAACTCCCCGTTTCTTTTATATTTATGTATATAAAAGGCTACAACAGATACACACCAAGGTGTAAGAATGCAAAACCAGCCTTCGGCTTCTGCACTCGCTTATGACAACTGCTCCACGTTAAGCAATGGTCCCTGCACAGTGTAATTTTTTTTTCCCTTCTCTTCACATACAGAAACATGAAATGTAGTTTTAAATTTACACATCTAGAAATTTCCATACCAACTGAAGTGTCTGCAGTGTTCACAGCAGAAACGTCACCTTTGCATTGAAATACAAACCATGCGTATTTACATCTTAACAGGACCCACTTAAGTAATTTCAGGTCTATCTGCAGACAGAGACAAGAGACAAGAGAAGGGGAATATGACACTGGTTTTCAGAAAAAGTGACATTTTACCAGCAGCTTTTTCACCTGCAGGTTTTCCAAAGCTCTTTTCTTGTATTGCTTACTCAAAACAGGTGACATTATTTCTGTACAGTCTTTAAAGAGCAGTTTTCCAGGTCTCCATCTCTGGGTTTGAGCGATCTGCACGCCTGTGCACAGTTCTCCAGTACGTACAGTATCACAGCAGAAAGTCCCCTCTCCTTTTATACAAAGTATTAGATAAAAACTTCATAGAAAAATTGCTTATTTCTCTTTAGAGGCAAGAAAAAAAATCTGCAAAACCGAATGATTTATGCTGAAAGACTGTCCATGTAAACAACTGCATGAAAGTTGCATGTAAGTAGTTAAGACCAGAATGCATAGGCCACTTCACAGCAGCCACTACCTTCAAACTAATTTATTTCCTGTCCTCGAGCCCTGTTTAAAAAACTTCTGGGCTTAAGTCCCTATTTGGTATGTTGGCATCCAAAGATCTCATGTGGTGAAACCTAAAGCCACTTCACAAAAGCCAGTTTATTTATGCACTGGTTCACACTCTCCAGATGCTCAACTTTGTGCTGTAAATATGCAGCACAGCAATAACTACATCCCTGTTGCAAAACGATCTTGTTCCTCCAGGACTTGGACTCCCTAATCTAGGGTCACAGGAAAAATGTGCAACTCTGCAGTGTAGACACTCCCTTCTCACAAGATCCGTGGATCTGCCAGTGCAACTACCATGGTCAAGGCATCTGGTTAGCACACTCTTCCTCAACACGGGAAGTGGCTGGAACAGAAGTACACACCACACCAAAAGGAGCCACGGCAGCTCCCTTCTGCCCCGCTCCAGGAAAGCGCAAAATGGACTCAAATGGATTTTTTACTAAAATCCGATCTCAGAGTGAAAGTTCATGGTCCTGTGATGCACTTAATACACATTCCACCATCCTGTACATGAATGAAGAAAACAAAAGGAGCCAAACACGTATTTTACCTACCAACACATAACAACAATTAAGTTCTATTATTTCATAAGGCATATTCATCTTGGGTGAGAATTCAAGCACAAGCAAGAATCCTGCTAAGTCGTGTAACCTATAACTTCATCTATCAAACTCCAGGAAGTCCCAAGGTCTCTCCCCTCCTCAGACAGAACAGTCCCTGTCATAGCAGTTGCGTGGTTTTTTATATATTTAAAACTTAAGAAAAGAATGGGGTTAAATAAAAGTCTCAGTAGATGGATTTCTGTAACTTTCAAGAACAGGGACAAACAAATGACCAGTTTTGCAGTTCTCAGGCTTTATCCCATAACCTGCCTTTTTACAATATCTATCTATACATATGTATAAATTAGAGATAAAGCCACAATTAACTGCAACATTCAGGAAAACCTTCAGTCCGTATCAGAGTCTCTTTTGAGCTCGCATCACTGAGGAGTAAAGGTGAGGATCATCCAGCTGATAACAAAGTAGAAGAGGAAGATGGGGTAGACAACCAGTGCCTTGCGGTTTGGAGGCTGACTGTCTGCCAGGAACGCCGTAGACGCTGTGACACAGAAAAAGAAAGGTACATAAATGTCAACAGCATAAAATTAGAAATATACAGATGTAAAAATTTTAACATAGTAATGCAGATCTTATTTTAAGTGTAAAGACAAAGAGTAAAATTGAATATTCCACTGCTCCGGTCCAGTGCTGTCTAACCACCAGTTAAAGCTTTATTATAACAGAAAGAGAAGTGTTGGCTGGCACTAACCAAGTGCCAAGTGGGCTGGCACTGCCCCTCAGGCCGGCACTCACCCAGCGTGGACCAGGCAAACATGGCTAGAACCACGAGCAGACGCACGACGAAGCCGACGGTGCCAGAGCTGGCCAGCAGCACCAGCCTGCACACCAGCATCGCCACCGTCAGGGGCAGGACGCAGTAACCCAGCACACACAGGCTCTGAAAAAAGGATCTAGAAACAAGTGATAGAAACAGGGGAAAAAAAAACGTCAGACCAAAGCACCAGAAAATTCCCATAAACTGGAGTATAGTAACTGCTCTAGGAAACCAGCACTCACATAGTTCCTCCAAGCAGCTTTGAGTTTAGTGTGATAACAACTGCCCCAAACCAGATGATGACAAAGACCTCAGCAAATTGGGGCCCTCCGTCTTCTTTGCTATCTGCTGATCCACCCTGGAGCATCCTACGGAAAGCAGCAGAAACAGAAAGTCAACTACACTTGACAACTGGATTTTTGCAGACTGAGAATAGATGACAGAACGGGAGTCCACAGGGTGATTCCTAAATAAGCTGCACAACAGTCACTTTTCATCCGTTTCTGATTTTTTTCCCTCTATTCTTCATAGAAAAGTTGAGAGCACTTAGTTGAGGGCACTTCAGTTCACTTGTTTTTGTGGACTACGTAGAAATATAAAGGGGAATAAAATCACAGACAATAGGCTAGGCAATGAAATCTAAGTACAAAGAATCTGATAAACTCTCAAAGCAGCCAGTGCGCTGCATGATAAAACAGGTAAACCTTAAGGAAAGCTTAATAAATCTCCACGCAGAGAAAGAACAAAGAAAGCAGCAGGCACCTTAAAATATATATATAATATATATATATATATATACACCTAAGGCAAAGTAAATATTTACTCTTATGTTTTAAGTCCTGAACACACCCTACAGCTCTTTGCTCTGGATGCTGCGAGAGCTAAGCAGGCAGTTGCGCTTACCCGAATTAACTCGGGTTTGAATACTGCGCTATTGCAACGGCTCCAGACTCTTTGGCTTTGCTATTCCATTCCCGAATCCTGCAGTGAAGCAGGAAACACGCAGGTGAAGGAACGCAGCAAGGAGCGAGCAGGAGGGACACCGCAGTGCGGGCGCTCCCCAGGCGACGGGCGCCCCGCGGCCCTTCGGGAGGGTGTCGAACATTGGGGCTGCCGGGGGGCCCCGCGCCCGGCACCCCTGCCCCGCGGCCCCCTCGGCCACCGCGCGGCAGCTCCCTGCGCTCCGGCTGGGCAGCGGTGCCAGCAGCGCCCGGGGCCAAGCGAGCCGGCCGCGGCGGCAGGAACGGTAACCGCCGAGAGCAGCGATCCTGAGCGAGGGCACAGGCAAGGGCTCACCCCGAGGTTCCAAACTCGGAGCAGGAAGGTCTGAACGGGATGCCAGAAATGCAATTCGTAAGAAAGCCAGGAAACAGCACTGTTTGTGCTAGAGCCAGCAAGCACCAGAAAAGGTTAACTACAGCACATACAATCCGAAATCCTTAAGCTCTCATTTCCCTCATGTGGGGGACTCAGAAGACAAACAACTCCCGCTTCCCAAACTCTGCAGGTACTTACAGTGCAAGCGAGACACAAAGCACCAGGGGGCCCCAAAGATCCCCTGCAGGAAACGGGCAGAAAAAGAATATTAGAACAACGTTCAGTGCCAAAACACCCTCTCCCAACTCCTGATGCATCACTTTTCATATCAAACTAACATATTTTTCTTAGCATCTTACATTACATTCCGTATATGGAAAGTACGCATAACTTATCCAAAACAATAGAAAGAACAACAACAACAACAAAAAAATGTAATGAATTCTTCCTTTCTAGTGCAAGCAAAATCCATAGATAACTTGCTCCTTCAGGAGCCTGAAGGTCTTCTGACACGTACAGTCTCTAAGGAGGGCACTGCTCTTTTTGGGATACATGACATGCACAAACTTCTTCCCAACGGCCTTGAGATCTCTCATCTGAAAGAGAGGGAAGAGAGCGTTAATATATGACTTAACAGAAATTACAGCTCACACCTACAGCAAAGCAGAAAGAAGTGAAGTAGCATCAACTTTAAATCAAGAGAGGATCTAACCTTAACCATGACATTTTCTGCAGCATCCCCTGCAGCAAAACAACACCTACACTTCCACCCTCCTTAACAAGGCTGTTCCGTGCTTCAATAACGCCTTATTAAGGAGAACGACTGGGTTGCTCCTGTGGGACAGGCGGGCCATCCCGACACGCTGCCTTTCCGGGGCTCGGGGCTCCCGGGGCCCGCGCGAGGCCGCCCCGCTGCCGCCCACTCACGATGGTCTCGCGCACGGGCTCGTCCAGCGTGGAGAAGTCCTCGTCGGGCGAGGGGGCTCCCACGGGCACCGTGATCTCCCCTTCCACGGGGATCTCCTCGGACACCGACATATCTGCAAGATCTGCAAACTGAGTGTTCACGAGACGTTCAGAGCGGGAGGCGGAGCCGCCCGGCCCGCGCCCCGGCCCCGGCCGCGCCGGGAGGACACGCGGCCCCTCCCCGCTCCCGGTGCCGGTCCCGCCCCGCCCCTCACCAGCGGATCCGCGCCGCCGCCGCCGCTCCCCTCCGCCGCCGCCATCTTGGCCCCGTCGTCGCCGCCGTCTGGGCGACGTGGAGACGGGAGCTGACGTCATGGGGGAGCGCGGCGCGTGGCAAAGGCGTCACCGCGGCGGAGCGTCCCTGGCAACGCCCCGCCCCCGCCTCGCCCCGCCCCTGCCCCGCCCCTGCAGCCGCCGTGAGCCCTTTTCAGACATAACCCTTTTGTCTTTAGCCTCTTATTAAACCTGCTAAAAGGCGATACACCTGTAAACTTTGGGATGAAAATTAAATATAATGGGGCTTTTGATTATGTTATTTTAAAGTAAATTTTTGTCTGCTAAAACGCTTTATAATCTAAAACCTTTAGGAAAGTGTCTGGCAGAATCTCCCTGTTCTTGCCTAATAAAGAGGAAATAAACCATTTGCTCCTTTAATCCCTATGTTAAGCCTAAATTAATCCAGTGTAGGAGGGGGCGCAGCCGGGGCGGGCTGCGTTGTTGCCAGGCGACGGCTGCGTTGTTGCCTGGCAACGGCTGCGTTGTTGCCTGGCGACGGCGGCGGCACCGCCCGGAGCGGCGCGGGGGGGCGTGGCCGCTGGAACCGAACCGAACCGAACCGAACCGAACCGGACCGGCCCACCGAACCGGAGCCGGGCGGGGCGGAGGCGGCCCGGGCCGAAGCGGGGCCGCGCGATGGGCGGGCCCCCGAGCCGCCCGTAGCCCGGCGGGCGGCAGCGCGGGGCGGCGGCGCCGCCATGGGGCACCCGCCGCTGGAGTTCAGCGACTGCTACCTGGACAGCCCCGACTTCCGCGAGCGCCTCAAGTGCTACGAGCAGGAGCTGGAGCGCACCAACAAGTTCATCAAGGAGGTCATCAAGGACGGCAACGCGCTCATCGCCGCCATCCGCGGTAAGCGGCGGCGGGGCGCGCCGGGCCCGGCTCCTTTGTCCGCTCCAGCCCTTCCCGCCTCACGGGCAAGCGCGGCCAGAAACGCTCCCTGCGCGAGGGATAACGCTGCGGTTGCGTCACATAACGTGTAAATGAAGTACCGAGCAGGGCCGCGCGGGGCCGGCCGGGGCGCCCGGCCCGGGGGTCGCGCGGCGTCCCGGGGGTCGCGCGGCGTCCCGGGGGTCCCTCGGCGTCCCGGGGGTCCCTCGGCGTCCCGGGGGTCGCTCGGCGTCCCGGGGGTCCCTCGGCGTCCCGGGGGTCCCTCGGCGTCCCGGGGGTCCCTCGGCGTCCCGGGGGTCGCTCGGTGTCCCGGGGGTCGCGCGGCGTCCCGGGGGTCGCTCGGTGTCCCGGGGGTCGCGCGGCGCCGCGGCGCCCCGGCTGCTGAGCGAGGAGGAGGAGAGGGCGCGAGCGGAGCCGCGGTATCTGCGGGGAGCACCGAGCCCTGCCCTGTCCCGAGGGACGAGGCACCATCGCAGCGGGTCAGCAGCGCCCTGGCGAACGTGGGTGCTGCCTTCATCCCGCTGCTCGGGGCTCCTTCCCCCCTGCTCCGTCCGCGGTCGCGGCTCGGGGTGCAGCGGCACCGGCAGCCCGTGCCCGCGGAGCGGCCTGGCACCGGGAAGCGCAGCAACGGGAACGGCCGCGGCCGCAGAACGCGGGAAGCGGCGGTTGCTGCGGGACGGGGCCTCCTTCGGGGGTCCCTCGGGAAGGAGGGGAGCGGGGCCGGCCGCAGGTCCACGCGGTTCTGCCGCTGTCGCCTCCGTCTGTCGCTCCCGCGGCTCAGGACCCCCCTTTCTGCCTCTCCCGAGGCCCCGCCGCGGGTGCCGCATCCTGGCGCGTTTCCCCCGGCTCGCGGCGCCGAGCCCAGCGCACCCCAGAGCCGGGAGCACCGGCGTTGGAGGCACACGGTGCCGTTGGTACCGCTGGAACACAGGATTTAGAGCAGATGAATTCAGTTCCCGGTTTGCCCACGGGCTGTGGAAATGCCCAACACCTGCTTTCCCAGAGACACAGGCTGGTCAGCCTGGAGCAGCAGTGGGACCTGCGGACGTGGTTGCAGCCCAGTGCATCTACATGTAAAGAGATGCTTTAGTTTGTGCAACCGTGTCGTATTTGTGTGAACTACCTGCAAAAGAGGAGCAGCCCCTTTGGGGGGAAATGGGATCTGCCTGGTTTCTGTGGGAGCTGCCATAAGGAGATCCCAGGTTTGGGCTTAGGAACCTGGAACTACCCTGAAGTTGTCTTCTATTTTCCATTTACCAAACACTAATAATAATAATAAAAAGTAGAGCATGGCCTGATAATTGAATAAACTCTAAGTATATGAAGTCATGTGTTGGGTGAAACCCCATGGTTTTGAGCTAAAGTCCATGGTGCAAGGTGCATATATGTTGTTTTTCTTTGCTGCTGCCGGTGTTTTTTCAGCTGTCCAGGTGGTTTAAGCAGTGCAAAGCTGCCCACTAGTCAGTGAAACCTTGGAGGAAATCTAGCAGACGCTGCAGAGTCTCGCTTTGTTCCCGAGAAAACGCCAGCACGCACCCATCCTCGTGGCGCACAGTCCTTCCCATGCCCTGCGTTGGGGCTGGCTGCTCCGCTCCGTGCGGCTTGAAGGCGGGAGGACGTGCAAAAGTGCCTCTGGAGTCGGGAGGACCCGAAAAAGTGCCTCCCGTGTCGCTGTGCCGGGAGGCGGCTGTGCGGGGAGGCCGCGGGGGCTGCGGGCAGCGTGGCACTGCGGGGGCATCCGCGCGCGGCGCAGGCACCACGCAGCAGCCGAGGCACCCGGCTCCACGGAGCCGCTGCTGGAAGCGCTTCCGCGGAAGAGCCGCCCGCCCGGTGCTGCCGGCGCCTGCGGAGCGCGAGCAGCCGGGCAGGGGTGGCGGGCAGCTCTGCAGCGGGCGCCGCGGCCGCGGGAGCCGTCCCGTGGGGCTGCGGCTGCCCAGGGCCCCGCGCACGGCCCGGCCTCCTGGACAGGCAGCACCCGCTGCCGGGCGCCCTCGGCCCCTCCGAGAGCTCAGGCACAACCGAGTACTCTTCCCTTACGGACTCTGAAACGTTGCCAGCTGAGATAAATAAACCACAGATGGCAAAGCTCCCACGAGAGCCCCGCGAGGCCCAGGGTCGGCCTGGCTTCTTGGGCTCCTGCACTCACACTGCTGCCTTTGCAAGTGATTTTTTCCTTATTGCTGCCTGAAGGGGGAAAAAACCTTCCCCTGCTATACGTAGTCATCCTATCGGACTGTGCCAAATCAGACGTAAAGCTGGCAAAAGCGAGGAAAAGGACTGCTCATTTGCAATGATGTTGGGCTTACAAATTAATGATAGCTAATAAGTTAATCTGGGTCAGAGATGCAAGTTATTTTTGTTGTAAAGTTGGCTATATCCCATCTTTTTAGTGCCAAAAGTATTTTGAATCACTAGGAGAGCCAGGTTGCCGTTTGAGTTCTATATGTTGTACTGCCCCAGTTCCGCCCCGCGTGCTGGAGAGGCTCCCAGGGAACCTCGGGACCGTTCCAGGCTTTCAGGGCGATGCTGTGGAGCGGGTCCCGGGAGCTGCGGGCTCCTGTTGTGGCGTCCCCTGGGAGCTTCTGCCTCCTGCAGTACCTGCCCGGGCTCACGGGTACTTCTTGCTCGACCTGCTCGAAAGGTGAGGAAACGTGTGCTCAGGTGGCCTGCGTTGTGGCAGCATGTTCAGCGTCTGTTCCCAGTGCTGTCACTGATCCCTACCTGATAAACCTCATCTGTCCCTCCTGAGGTCTGCTGCGTCCCCTACGCTCGCAGAGCCAGACCAGGGAAGCCTGGTCCTGTGTGTAGGTGTCCCGTGGCTGTCCTGCGGGGCTGCTTGCCGTGTCCGTAAGCGCCTCCTGCCTCAGAGCTCCCCTGTGCCAGGTGCTCCCCGGCTGCTCCTGCCCCGGGCGTTAGTGAAACGTGGGCAGGATTTGGAGCAGGTGACGTATTTCAGGCAGTGATCGAGCGTGGTAGGAGGTAGGTGACCATGGAGCATCCTAGGCAGTGCCGGAGTGGGGGTTTATGTCGTTTTTTCTCTGTGCCTCAGCATTTTGTGGGCTTTGGTTTTTCCTGTTTTAATCTGCTGCTTGCTGTGTTCTTCTGCGTGCGTGTTAATGCAGAAACATGTTTTTCCCTGTGATCTGCTCTTACACTTACATATGTAATTAACCCGGCGCTGTTTTTACCGAATGGAATTGCGCAGTGGTATTAGCTGTATCTTTTGAAGCTGAAGGGCTTTGGGCTCTCATGCAAATACAGCGTCTGAGGCTTTGAAGTTTTGTGCTGTGCCCCTTGCAGCTCTGCGTGGCTCCCGGCTGCGGGGTGGCGCGGCCTCTCCGTGCAGCCCAGGTCTCCTCCGTGGAGCGGGAACGCCAGGCCCGGCACCCGGCGTGTCCCCAGGGCCATGTGGATGGGCCCCTTTGTACTCGGGAAGCCACTTGCCAACCAGTCCTGCTACCTGAGGAACCCGACTGCCAAGTAACAATTACATGAAAGCTTGTCTGATGCCACCGCTTAAAGCATGAAGACGCTGCTCTTCTCTCCAGGACCAGCGGTCCAGCTAGTACTGCATTGATCTGACCTAGAAATTGGTCCGCTGATTTTGTTTTCCTGGTTCTCTCCTTGCGCTTTGCCAATATGGTGCCAGATCGGAGCGTCTCCCGTAACGGAGCAGCGGCCCTGGCGAGCTGGGATCAAGCGAGTAGAGGCTCCCCGGCCAGCATGATGCTGCTGCCTTGGCACCTCTCTTGGCTTCTTTGCCAGAATCCTTTTCTCTGCTTGCAGAGCATCCCAGGACCGAGTTCGGAGTCACAGACAGAGCCAGGGCCCTGGGCTGTCCTGCCCTGCGCTGGGCTGAGCTCAGCCCAGCAGAACCACCCTCCGCCTCTCCACTAAGCTTTGAATTCAGGAGGTCTCGGAAGGTCTCAGAGAACAGACGTGTGTGCAGATGTGTTGTCGGTGCCCCTGCAGCTGAAGCCTGTACTGTCGTATTGTCGATGCTGGAGCACCGGGCGCCCTGTCAGTGTGGCAAGCTCCAGGGCAGCTCACGTAGCAGCCGTGTTCCCCTCTCCCCGCCTCTTCTAGCACTTAGCACTAAGCTGCTCCTGGGCTTAAGCGGAGGAAAATCCACTTACTGGAAAATATGTTGCTCTCCCCTAGCAAGTGTCTCCCCTTGCTCCTTGCTGCTCGTCTCTGTCCTCGCTGGGTTTCAGCTGGCAGGACGCTCCCCCGGGCAGGCAGGGACTTGCCTGCTGGAGCGCCCGCCTTAGAGCCCTTGCGGTCTGGGAAATCGTCCTGTGAGAGTTAGCACAGGTAGTTACTACAGGTGCCCCCAAAGCTTTTGTCCTGGCTGCGTTTGTCTGAAAGGAGAACCAAGCTATATCCGTATGAAAAAAACAAGTGTTTAAGCAGTGCTATGTAGATGACTTAAACTGGTTGCATGCTGCAAATGCAAGGTGCAGAGCCCGTGCTGCTGCTGCCGCTAGCCGCACCGTGAAGCAGGAGTGCAGGGCGGGCACTTTCGAGGTGGCTGCAGCGCCGGGCACGGCCGCTGCGTCCTGCCCTGTGTGCAGCGCAGTGCAGTGCAGCGCAGTGCAGTGCAGCGCAGTGCAGCAGAGCGGAGCAGAACAGCTCCCGGGCGCCCTGGCAGGTCGCCACGCGCGGGCGGCCGTGGGGGTGTCGCGCACTGGGCGCCGCACGGTGCTGTGCTCTCATGCACAGACAGGGCTTGGCCGTTGGCGGCCAGGCCATAACAACCGTGCGCAAAGACTGGTGTGATCCACGGAGTGTGATGCCTCTTGCAAGCAAGAGGACATGTACGTGTACGGGTTTGTCCCTGCTGCTGTGGGTGGGGTGGGCGCCGGAGCTCCCATCCCCTGGAGCAGCGCAGAGGCAGCGCCCGGCTCGCAGGCAAGGGGCTCTGCCCGCGAGGGAGCGCGGGAGCTGTGGCCGCCCCTGCG